GCGGGATCGGAAACAAGAAAACCACAACCGGAGTCCTCTATATCAGTAGCAGGAACAGGGTGGGGAAGTCTCGGGTACAGGCAGTAGTAACACGAGCAAACTTACTCCTACAGCAGGAAGTACTTTTATCAAGACGAAGAAAATAAAGCTGGAACGAGCAATGGATACTGCAACGAGCAACACAGGAGGTGGAAGCGCGTTCGCCAGCGATAGTTCTACGAACCTGGCAACCGTGATCAAAGGCCTCAAGAAATTCGACGGAAAGGACCCAGCTGAGTTCAAGACATGGATGAAGAAATTCTGCGTGGTGTTAGGTGTGACCAGGAAGGACATCCTGCCACTGCTGAAGAAACAAAGGAAGCCAGATCCCGCAGACACAGCGGCCTTCGACTCCTACACAAGGGCAAACGAAGATCTCTACGCCATTCTTTTCCTCCTAGTGGAACTTCCAGCCGCCTTGTCGATACAGAAGCACGAAGACGACACTGGCATCAGCGGCGACGGACAAGCTGCCTTCGAGGAGCTCTGCAACAACTATGACAGGGTAACGGACGAGGTCATCAGGGCCAAGATGGAGGAGCTGGAGAACAACCCCATGAACCCTTGTGAAAATCCCGACGACTACTTCAACCAGAAGCACCTACTTCGCACCCAGCTGGATAAGATGGGAGAACCCATCTCCGACCGCCGCTTCAAGGACATCTGCGTACAGGGCTTCTCCGACGAATACAAGGACGTCAAACTGATGGTGTTCAGAGACCCAACCTTCAACGTCCTGGACATGCAATCCACCATGCGCAACATCTTCTTGGACGAACAATCGCGCAAGGGATGGAAGGGACGCATAGCTGGTCGAGGATTTGCCATGGCAACGACCGCGTCTGACATCATCTGCCACAGCTGCTACGAGCCGGGGCACATCAGGAGGAACTGCCCCAAGATCAAGAACAGGGCGATGAAGAAAACGAAGCCCGCCGGAGCTACCAAGTGGTGCTCCAAGCACAACACCACGTCTCACTCGGACGAGGAATGCTACCAGCAAGGA